CAGCACTATAATCAAGATCACAATCAAGCATTATAATCAAGATCAAGGGCAAGAAGCATTTGGCACTAAGAGCTGTGTTTGAAGGGCAGAGTTGTCAGCTGGAAGGCAGAGACACCTTCCGGCCCATTCCCGATGCTTTTATCTCCACCTCTACACTGGCCCCTTCTCCCTCTGTACCTGTGCCTTACTTGGTGGAACCCTTTTCACACGATCTCTTGGTCCGTTCTGTCCTCACCACCTTCTGCCTCTGCTGAGCTCGGCAGACCTCCCAGATTAGTATGACCCGTGCTGATAAATGTGGCAGACGCTCTGGACTGGCTGCCCAATACTCAGTCACCACTCGCCCTGCCTGAAGCAGGTCGTGGTCATATAACCCAGTTTTAGACTATTAGATTTAAGCACTCATCATTGGCGATGTTTCCCCAAAACACATTTAAATGAGACAGATTTTGCTTATCTTCCTTCCTCCTATTTCTTTTCTTCCTATTCTTTAAAACAGAGATAATTCCTGGAGCCCCAGCACCATCTTGTAATGAGGACAAATGCTACCAACTTCAAGAATGGCACAGCCAAAAGAAAGAAGGATCCCAGCTAGGGCATCAAATCCTCAGGCAGACCTATCAGTTGCACTCACCTCCCAGGTTTTGCTGCTGGAAACAACTACCCTTGTCACCCAGAATCACATTACCTAACTACAGGCATTAGCATCACCTGGGAATTGGTTAGAAATGCAGACACTCAGGCTCCACCCTAGATTTAATAGTAATTCAATTTTAACAAGATTTTCAGGTGATCTGCATGCCCATCGAGCTTTCGAGGCAATGGCATAAGTCACTATTAGTTGCAGTATTTTGTTGTTTTCTGCTGAATATAATCCTAGCATATATAAGTTCTAGGAAGACCCCAGGTATTTTTTGCTCAAGTTTACATTTGCAGTTCAGATGAACAAACAACTATTTCTCATTCTATCTAAGAATGCTAACTCTCTGGTTTCATAAAAGAAAAGAAGCTAGAGGTATAAAAATCAGAGACACAGTGTCGGTGCAACTAGGAGGTAACGAATTCTTTAACCCTAAGTAAGCCATGACCCCCCCCATCTTAGTACTTTTTCTGATGAAGTAGCCAGGTACGTGCAGGCCAAAAAGACAGTAAGGGAAATTATTATATAAACAAATAGCATATAATCATAAAGGTATTCCTAGGAGTAGTGAATCCTGCAAAAAACTATTTTCAGATAAATACTGTGTGGTTTCAGCCGTATGGGTTCTCTAGAGAATCCAATCCATAGAGGCAAGAAGTAGAGCAGTGGTTCCAGAGCTGAGGGTGAAAGGGAAGAGGACTTGGTTTTAATGTGTGCAGAGTTTCAGTTTTACAAGACGCAAAGATTCTGCAGAAAAATCATAGTAATGACTGCAACAATGTGAGTGCACAGCACTAGACACTTACAAATGGTCAGTCAAAATGGTAAGTCTTGTCATGCATATCTTACCACAATTTTTAAACAGCAAAATAATTTTTCACAGTAAAATCTTTCTTCTATGGATCAATGGACAAAAAGCTAAGCTGTTAGTCAGGCTTGGTGGCCATGCCTATCATCCTGGCAGCCTGGGACACTGCAGTAGAAAGATGTTAAATTTAAGCCAACCCTGGGCAACTTAGCAACATAGCAAGACGCTGTCTCAAATTTAAAAAGTCCAAATTCCCTGGATTCAATCCCCAGTAACACACACAGACACACACACAGCTAAACAATTTAATCTGCTGCATTCCAGTGGTTACTGGAACTCCAAGCTAGAATTCTACTAGGACTAAATATGTGAAGTATGAAATAAAGTTATGTGTGTATACATTCGTAGAGCATCCCTAATCTGCAAAAATCCAGAATGTTCTCAAATCGGAAATTTCTGAGTGCCAAATGATACCACAAGTAGAGAGTTCCTTGTTTTGTGCACAAAATTACTAAAATTAATATATAAAGTTATATTTGAGCAACGTACACAACATTGCTCATAAATAAATTTCATGTTTAGATTTGAGTCCTTTCCTCCAGACATCTCATTATATGCATGCAAATATTCCCAAACATCCAACTATGAACCCAAAGCACTTCTTGTCCAAAGCATTTCAAATAAAGCATACTCAACCGTATTTAGGAAAGTCACCAGGATAAATGATTCTAGGAAAGCAGCCCTCATAAGAAGAGCCCAGAAAGGAAGCACAAACTGCGGAGCCTCTTATGTGTTGAAGAGCCATGAGGGCAGGGAAACACCGAGGCCACATCTGTCCCGAAAGAAAAGGATCTGGAATAAATATGAAGTTACGTGATGTGTGAGAAGGCAGCACCGTGAATATGTGAGCCAAGATGTGGCTGCAATGCTGCAGGCTTCCATTTGAAAGTGACATATTATATGGATAACATTCACGACTATAGAATGATTACCTACAGCAAGATGTTGAGATGAGAGAAGATACCACAGCATCCAAATGTTAAATACTTTCATTAGAAACTGTCCTTCCTGTCAGTGGTTTGTGAGAGCTTAGAATACTTCTCTAATATGCACCTAAAATAATATTACATTAATCTTACACATATTCATTGCTTCCTTTCAACACCAGACCCTTCAGGATACTTAAAGAATGGTGTGACTTCAAAAGAAGTCAAATATTAACTACAAGTGATCATTTTAATTGCCTAAAAGTGGTCAATCAGCCATGCATTGAACAGACTTCAAATCAATTTAATGCATTAAAATAACTAATAAAACTGTTATACAGTACTTTATAACATTTCAAGTGTCAAATAAACGGACTATAATCAGAATAACTATCAACATATAAAATAATTTAACAGCCACAAGGTGACCATAATGAATCCCTATCATTTTATACCTAGGACTAATGAAGGAAACTATGTATTCTAAATGACATAAAAATGGCACTTTAAAAGGTAAACGCTCAGTCAAGAGCCAAAACCAAACCAAAACAAACCAAACCAAAAATCAAGGAAATGCTGAAATTTTACTTTATTTACATGAAATATATTTAAGTGATGAGAAAAAAATACACGATTTGGGCCAATAATTTCAGATGATATTTAACAGATAGTCTAGAGTATTTCATAGAAAATATTCAACAGATTGTTTACAAACACTTTTTGTAAAAAGTGTGCAATGTCTGGGGAAAAAAAGGAAAATCTTATTTTCTAACTTGTTTGCTGATGTTAACTACTTTTTGTTACTACAGAGTGAAAGCACTCCGAATAAGAAGAAATGACATGAGCTACTTCCTTTTTTTTGTTATAAAACCAAAACTTCACATCCAGAAGAGACCAGCAACAGGAGGAATTACTGTTAAAAATGTTAAAGGTAAACTAAGTGTTGCTCATCACTCTCACTTGAAGAAGAATGCGAATTAAGCAACAGAGAAAATGTCAAGAGCAATGAAAATGAACCCCAGGTAGATCTTAATGGCTTAGCCAGTTTCTCTATCTATAAAAATCAGGACACTCTTACTGCTGTTTGTGTTAGGTAATTAACAGCTGTAAAGCACACTGAAAGCAGAAACTGCTAAATAAATAATGACTGCTAAAGAATTTCACCACAATGTGCTAAATAATGATGAAACATGGGTTTCTAACTTTGCCATTTTTGTTCTCAAATTAATAATGCAAACAAGTCTCCAACCTCATCAACATAGCTAGTATGAGTGAGCAAGTTAGATTTAGTGATTTGAAGTCACAGAAGGGATCTTGTATCTCCAACAGCAGTGCATTTAACTCTACGTACAGAGATGAAAACGAAGTCATGTTCTGTACCTGCATCAGGAGAAACAGAAACACTCTGTCTGCGTCTACCTTTTTGTTAATTCCAGATAGAAGCTATTCCACTTGAAAATACACTAAGCAATAAACTCTTGGAGAACTTCCATTGATTTCCCATTCACGATGAAGCCCATAACCCAGCAATGTTTTAAATTATTTTCTTGGAATTAACAACACAAGAACATCCAAAATGACTGTTCTCCACATTTTCCAATCTATTAGATTACAATATGTATGAGATTGTAAGCCCATCTAAGAACTTTCCACACATTTTTATAATTACTTACCGAGGAAACAGGATGCAAAGACATTAGCATCAAACATACTAGAACTTCTAAACTTTCTACCCCATTAGTGGTATGAAATAGGTCATAAAATTTAAACTGTGCAACCAGCAAAGATAACAATATTTTACTATTCAACTTACTCTTATTTTCTTGCATGTCCATTTACAAAAACCACTGAGTTCTGTGAAATCATTACAAAAAGAATTATAAATTTGGAAAAGGTGGGACAACATTAGAGATTAAATCTATTTTGATTATTTCTCAGTGAAAATATACCATCTATACAATAGTCTTCTACCTAAATCCAAAATCTGATCAAGGTTCTGTACACAAAATAAATTGTTCTGTGAATTTCCTGTACACTTGTAAAAGAAATGTAGAATAGTTCACTATATGTTCATTATAGAATGGTTTCAATATTACTGAAGAAACCAGTCTAAATCTTTTATTATCTATTTTGGGAGAAAGTCACCCCCCACCCGGGCAGTATTTTGAGGAAAAATTAAACATCTACACGAGAAACCAAAGTAAAGGGTATTATTCCCATTAAAATGCAAATATATGCTTTTATTCTCCGAATAACCAAGACCTCAAATACCATTTTTAGTGACTCGTATTAATTTAATCGTGACATTAGCTCTTACAATCACAGACGTAAAAAGACCACTGAGTTCCAAACATAATTATCTTACCAACATCTCATTTTGTGAGATTATTAGTTAAGACGAGCGCCTCTGAATGAATTTATATTTGATTAGTTTCACTTATTTAAGAACACTGAATAATGTAAGAGCTGTTTAAGTGCAAGGGAAGCGAGGAAGACCCGCGCGTGGGTGCTGCATTCTCCCGCGCCCCCCTGCCACGCCCGAGGGACCCCGCTGTCACGCACGTACCTTCCAAGTGCAGCCACATCAGACGCCCCTTCACGCTGACCACGGAGGCCACACAAAGCTCGCCCGGGTTTCTAGGGTTCACAGCCTCCAGTTTCATGTTCTTAGTGAAGCCCCGACTGAATGACGTCTGGAAGGGAGACAGAAGGGACGCTGAGCTAGTGGCCCCCACGGCAGGCTCAGGGGCAGCAACAGGGCTGGGGGACACAGAGCCACACGTGCTCACACACCTCACGCCTGGGCGCACGCTCGCCCTTCCCAGCACGGCGTCTTCGTTCACCCAGCCCTAAGTCACTTATCCTCGGCGCCCCGCGGGTGCGGAGTAGCACTGGGTAAACGGGCGCGAGCACGGATACATTCACCCCTACATTCACCCCTTCCCGTCCCACAGCCCTGTCTGTGAACGCGTCATCTCCTCTGCTCCCCTCTACGTCCCGCTAAAAGCACAGCTGCGTGTATTTGAGGGCGGTGACAGAGGAACATGGTGTTTCCCGGTGTATCCATCTGGCATCGATTTCTTTTTCTTTCTTTCGGGTACCGGGGATCGAACTCGGGACCTTGCACTTGCGAGGCAGGCGGCAGAACCATTGAGCTAAATCCCCGGCTCTGGCATCATTTTCTTTTAAAGGACATTTGAAGAGTGTGCTTTAGCGTTTCTTATTGTGCATATCTGCTGGTGATGAATTCCTTTACTTTCCTCTTACCTGAAATGATCTTTATTTTGTTTGTTCTTTTTATTTATTTTTATTTACTTCTTAAATTAAACTTTTACACTTAGGAAGATTCATTCTTTCGGGTGTCCTGTTCTGGGAAAGCAGGATTGTTAAACCAATACATATAGTCACGCACCCATAGCCATAATCAAGCCACAGAACAGTTTCCTCACTCTAAAATACTCTGCATTTTGGCCTTTTCCTAATCAATTCCTCCTTGTCACTCAATTGTGAGCAACCATCAGTTTGGTTTTTCTCGTCATTGTCCTTAACGTTTCCTCTTTTTACTCCAGTGTGTCATATAATGGGATCACTATATACGGAGCCTTCTCAGCCTGGCTTCTTTTATTTAACAAAATACATTCAGGACTCAGCCCCGGTGTACAGGAATCAGTCGTCTGTTTTGTTTCACGGCCTGGTAGTTCACAGAACGGTACTACAATCCATTTGCCAGTTACAGGGCATCTGAACCATTTTCAGGATTTGGCCACTAGGAATAAAGCTGCTATGAACATCCAGGTACAAATTTTTGTGGACACAGAAATATATTCACCTACGCAGCCTGCCAAGTAAAAACACCTCAGACTGGTAGTTTACACAGCAGAGCTCTATTTTCTCATAGGCTTGAAGGCTTTGTGTCCAGCATCGAGGCACCAACAGTTGGTTCTTTCTAGGCCCCTCTCCTCGGCCTGCAGATGGCCATCTCCTCCCGGTGTCCTCACAGGGTCCTCCCTCAGGATGTTCCTGGGTACTAACTTCCTCTACTGATCAGGATGCCGGCCACACTGGACAAAGCCACCCATACTATCTCTTTTTACCTTAATTGCCAATAAAGACCCTACTTCCAAATACAAACTCATTCTGAGTTACTGGGGCATTGAAGCCTGATCACATAAATGCAGGAAACCCAGCTCAACACCCACTGTGAAGTTTTCACATCTGCAGAAACGGGATCGTTAGATCATATGGTAAAAGGAGGTTTAGCCTTCCAAAATACTGCTGTATTATTCTCCAAAGTGGCTGCCATCATTTCGCCCTCCCACCAGAAGTATGCCAATGTTCCGGGTACACACATCCTCATCAATATTCGGTGCTGCTATTTTCCAAACCTTAGACTAATACATGTCTGGAGAGTGGTTTTAATGTGTGTTCCCCAATCAATGATGCTCAGCATCTTCCCGTTTGTCACACAGATACAGACATGGATATAGATATAGATATACATATAGATACACCTTTTTCTGAGACAGGGTCTTGCTATGTAGTTCAAGCTAGCCTTAAACTCACGATGTAGCTCAAGCTAGCCTCAAACTTGCATTTATCCTCCTGCCTCAGCTTCCTGAGTGCTTGGATTACAGGTGTGTGCCACCAGGTCCTCTACATATCTTCATAGGTGACGTGTTTGGCCTTATTTTTATTCAGTCACCTCGTCTGGGTCCCCCATTAACCACAATGTCGTCGCTCAGATCCCCGAGCTTCTACCACTTGCTGTTCTCTCCCTCACCAATCCTACTCTCTACGTTCTTCACATAGGATCGTCTCTCTATTCAAGGAAGTGGACACTTTCCTTTGTTACCCCATTGAGTCCTGATGAATTGAAATTTGTTTGTTTCAGAAAATATATTTCTCAAGTATAATTTCTATTTCTTCTGTGGGACTTTCTATCCTTCACTCATAATAAGGACATTTTCCTTTACATGCATAACTTTCAAACTTTATGACCTGTCAGAAGCACTTTAAAGCCGGGGATTTAGCTCAGTGGTTCCACCGCCTGCCTCACAAGCACAAGGTCCTGAGTTCGATTTCCGGTACCAAAAAAAAAAAAATCACTTTAAGAGTCTTTAAAAACAGACTGCTGGGCCTTATTCCGCGGGTTCTAATGCAGTTTAGGATAGGCACAGCTAAAGCATGTGTTTTTCCACCAAGTACTCAGGTGACACTGAAGCTGCTGAGATAGGGAACTCACGTCCAGAGTGCTCTATGTATCACTGAGCTTAAATGTTACTGGAGCTTTAAAATCCTTGTGTCTATCTGGGCACGGTGGTATATGCCTATCATTCCAGCACTCCGAGAGTCCGAGGCCAGAAGATCACAAGTTCAAGTCCTATCTGGGCAGCTCAGTGAGAGACTGACTCTAAACAAACAAACAGAGTTGGGGATACAGCTCGCCATGAAGGCCCTAAGTTCAACCTCTAGTATGAGGTATGTGGACTGGGGTGGGGAGAGCTTGTCTGGATCATGCCGATTTGGGGCTGTAGTGTTTGTCTTTCCTATTGAAATGTTAATCTGACTTTCCAGGTTTTCATGTCTTGAGAAATTCTGGACTGAAACACTATGAATGTTATGATGTGGAGGCTCTGGATTGTCATATTCCTACCAATGGTATCGATGTTTCTATTTTAGCAAGCAGTTAACTTGGCTGGACTCACATTACAAGCTCTGCTGAAAGCAACTCAACTGCAGCTCTGTTCATTTATCCTTACCTGCGGTGCTCGGGGTCTGCCTGGCAAACACACTACTCAAAGAAGAGCCAAAGATACATAACACAGGCTCTGTGGTCTCCCCTCCTGCGCTCCCCTGGCTCAAACTCCCAGCGTCTGTGGTTGCCCATATTTCATAATCTGGTTTAAGAGGGCAGAAAAGTATGAGTTTTACATCACTTTTAGTCACCTGACAAACGAAGAAAAAAAAAGTGAAAAAACCAAAACAACAAGACAAGCACTATGTGCTACCTCTCCCTTCTGACCGTCTGCCATGGCCTCCTAGGCCTGCTTTGGGACAGTGTCCTCCACTCTCACGCTGCTGCTTTCAGTGCTGTGTCTTGAACTGAGGTGTTATCTCTAGGTAGGTCAGTTCAGAACGAGCTTGTTCAGCCAATGCTGAAAGCCAAACTCCCTCCTAACATTATTTAAAATAAAATAAAGCATTTATTTTAAGAATAAATACGAAAACTTCCCAAATCATCATCTACTATAACTATAATCAGATGTTATACTACTACACGTCTATTTTGAAATATATAAACTAATATAAATAACTTCCTACAAATAATGTGACTCATGGAAAGAAATCAAAGTAATCCATATTTACATGTCTTTTTATAAACCAAGTTGAAAAAAGCAATCATATCATCATGCAATCAGAAATTTATCTAATTCACATTTTAAAAAATCAATTTTCTCTTTTCCTTTATGTTTCTTCGGAAGCAGGAACCACAGATACTCCAGATGGGCTATTTTTTTCTGCAAATCATCCTGAAGCATCCACACACTTCAGATAATACAACTTGATAGGCTGCTTGAAAAAACCTCTAAGTGAGTTAAATGTATTTTATCCTACTTAAGAAAGGAAAACTACAACCATGTAACCTATTTTCATCTCAACTCACTGCCTGAGGGTAATTCATCAAAGATCAATAGCAAAAATTGTTACCTGTGAGTTTATTTTACTAAGCGTTTCCTGTGTCTATCCATTTCATAACTGCCTCTGATTGTTAAACATCCCCAGGGAAACATCTTCCTTGCATCCAGTGGCATAGTAGCTCTCTTCTCTTACTCATAAGATGTGTGATTAAAAAATGAATCCATAATAAGCATCCCATTAACGAGCACTCGTAGCAAGCTAACAAAATCAGCAAAGTACCTGTAATGCAACGCATATGCCAAAAGGCAGGCAACAGCCTTCTCTATTAAAACAGCGGAGAACCAGAAACGAAGACACTGCTAATGAAGACACCCCGAATTCAGTAAAACAGATTTAACCTCGGTAGCTAAGTCCGGAAAGTTCAGAAGCCAGCAGGGGATGCGGCTACTCTGTCCACAATGAAAAGCCGCTTACACAACTCCCGGATGGTTGAAAGCAAAGGCAGATAAAAAGAAGCCCTAGAGGAACTGTGCAGTCATAGAAGAAATAATCTCCAAATACAAACTCAGGGTGCTGTGAAATCCTCTGTCCCAGGATGAAGAGTCAGAGGGGGAATGTTTCTCGTTGGGTGGAAAGCACCATCTCAAACAGGTCTGAGCGTTTTACAGGGAGTTCCCCAGGTCTGAACAGATGGTAGCTGGGCCAGGAGAGTCTCACAGAGTTACATCAGTAGGGTCAAAAGTAAGCAAAAGCCACTTAACTGAATAAGCCTGAAGCACTCGCCACCCACTCTCCTCGTGGGGCACGGGAACACAGCTATCCCTGCCATTCCTCCTCAGGACACAGCCTCCACTTCTCCAGGGCCACAGAAAAGGCTTCTACGCAAAGGCAGCACCGCCCAGGAGAAAGGTCACTAAGTGACCTTAGTCACTGAAGGAGCTCGGGTTTCCCACTCTCCACTGACTAGCTTCTGTTCGGATGAGTACAGGCTGGCTTGGGAGCCATGCACTTCTTTTCGCAAAGTCTGATTTTGACTTATGCTGTTTGGAGCTTCTATTAAGCCAACACTTCTCCCTGTCACCATGTGTATTCCCTTATACCTGCGGCACAAATTTCTTAGGGCAGCAATGAACCTGTAGCTCCAAAGCACATGTTCAGAAGCAAGTCTCCGACTCAGCAGTGCTTTGCTCCAATTACGAGGACTGCAGCTTCCTTCTTTCTCAGTTTAAGAGGCTAACTTTCAAAACCAAGAGTATGCCAAGCACAGTAGGTTATGCATTTGTACTGTATTTAAAAAACATTTCAGCCGGGTGTGGTGGCGCACGCCTGTAATCCCAGTGCTCGGGAGGCTGATGCAGGAGGATCACTGTGAGTTCAAGACCAGCCTGGGCTACATAGTGAGTTCCAGGTTAGTCTCTACTACACAGTGAGACCCCGTCTCAAAAAACCAAAAAAAAATCAAAACAAAAATTTCATATCCTTTGTCAGAATTTCTAAGAATGATGAATAATTTTATAAAGATAAATTTAAATAAATAATTGTATAAACCACTTTTTACAAACTACCCTTAATACTGTGAACTACTATACACACATTCATTGCTGATCTATGTCACAAAACTTCCTCAGCGCTAATGAGCTTTGAATAAGGTAGCAGCTTGTAGTAAGGAAAGCACAGAACTCACTTTTAATACTTAATTCATCAAAGAAAAAGGCAGTCATATTTTAAATAAAAACCCGGTTGTATTTTTATCAACTTGTCGATATTACTCCACACAGTAGAAGTGTGTCTAACGGAGTGCTGGATGGCACGCTGTCCACCAGAATTTGTTTTCTTTCTCCATAGTACAAAGTCATGGCTGGGAAGCAGGAGCCAGGACCGGTTTCCTTTTTCATTTCTTTTCTTCTGGTACTGGGGATTGGACTCAGAGCCTTCGTACTGAGCTGCATCGCCATCTTTCTCATTGTTTTAAAATTTTGAGACAAGGTCTCATTGAGTCACTTAGTTGACCAGGCAGGGCTCACCCTTGATCCTCCCGCCTCAGCCTCCCTCAGTGCTAGGATTACAGGCGTGTGTCACTGTAGCTGGCAGGATTCAGTTCCTGACCTCATCTGGAGCAGATGAGGGACTGACTCTCACCCACGGAGGGGGAAGGGGTAACGAGTGCAGCCACCACGCTATGCATTTAGAACTCAGGACATCACCTTCCTGATCTTCTCCCTGCCTGCTGACTAGATTCACGTGGTGAGTGCAACCCATGATTCACCATGACGAGCACTACCCAGTAATCAGGAACACACCGGGCTCCTTCACAAGTGGGAAATAAACTCGACACGTTTGAGCCATTGCACGTTTACTAGTCACTTTGTTACTGTGGCCCGGTATCACTCTGACAAATCCAGAACCCGAAAAGTGGACTTCGGCAAACCTATGAGTCACGTTGTGAACTACAGTGCGTGGTAATACTGCAGGATCGGTCAATAAATAGAAAGCATCTTGCAAAGCATACGGTCGGCGCTATCTGTGATCTTAAACAGTAGCAAGAGGGAAGTTCTCACATTTCGGAAGCAGAAGGGAGGTGCTTCTTCCGCCCCGTGCTGCTTGTAATAATCTGCCCAGTCGAAGTCCTGGCCAGAGTATCCTGTGAATGACAAAATCCAGACAGGACAGCGTTAGGCGAGCTGACTCCAGACAAATGACCAACTCTGAGGTGCAAGGTAGAAGTGAAAGTCCAGGCCCACGACGAACAGACAACACTTCTGATTTCATGAGGGTCCAACAAAGCATTTTAGAAAAGTAAAGTGCTAATTACACACAACGTATGCTGTTACGCAATGCAGCGCCTGACCTCAGCAGGTGAAGGGGGAACTTACTGCGGCACAGCGGGTCCTGCTGGCAGGGTTTTGTTACTGCGGACAAGAGCTGACAGGGGCTATGGCCCAGAATGGATTTGTAGGGTCCATTTTGCAGAAACAAGCAACGATACTTCCCCTCATATAAATTCTGAGCTCAACGGAACATAATGTTTGGTATCTTCAAAGAAATGATGAGAATTTATTGAAAAAAAAAACAGTATGGGGTGGATTTTTGATAGAGCAGAGGACAAACAGGAGCAGGGGTTTGGAAGATAAAGTCCCAAAGAAATGAGGAAGACGAGGAGAGTAAAGGTTGCCTTGGAACCACACTGCTGAGGAGAAAGGAAAGGGCATTAGGGAAAGAAGGGCTTCTCCGTGGGGAAGCTTTGGGGGTGACCGCACATCCTGAGAGAAGGGTTTGAGGGACAACTATGTACTCGTGCACTGAATTAAATACCGAGCCCAACCACGTGAGCAATGTGTTTCTTTTTAATAACTTCACTTCGGTGGGAGGAAAGGGAAAGTGAGTGTAGAAACACAGCCAACTCGACAACCGCAACAGGGCATGGGAGGAGGTGAGATAAAACAGTTCTGAATCATGAAGCAGAAAAGTGCAAGTACGTAGAAAATACCTCTACATGAGTGGAAACCGATGAACGGGTGTGCCACGGAAAAGGGAGAGGGGTTTTTAAAGTTCTTTGTTCATAAGGATGAAAATGCTACATACAGACCGGTTCAGGTTAACTCAAGTGTGCACGGCGTCAACTGTTAATTCTGCCTAGTGCGTCTTCTCTTTATCGGTTGCAGTGAAGGTAAAATAAATGGGTAAGAAGCCTTCTGAAAGCTACTTTTGATACAAGTCCCCCACCTTTTCTTCACGTAACATATACTCTACCACTGCAAATTCACTTAACATGGGGACCCTGAGTTACTAAATTCCACGGGTGCAAAGAAATTGCAGAAATTCTTTTTCTTTCTTTTTTTTTTTGGTACTGGGGACCAAATTCAGGCCCTTGGGCTTGTGAGGCAGCCAGTGGCACCACTGAGCTATATCCTCGGCCCTATAGAAATTCTTTTAAAAATTAAATTTATGTTTAACTGACAAAACATAAAAATGTAACATACTAATGCAATAATGTGAGGTTCTGACAGACACTGTGTAGTGTTCAAGCCAGGTTAAACATCTTATCTCCTCAAACATTTATCATTTCTTTTCTTTTCTTTTTCTTGGTACCGGGGATCGAACTCAGACCCTTGCACTTGCCAGGCAGGCAGCGAAAGCATTTATCATTTCTTTATGGCAGAACCTTCTAAAACCCTTTCTTCCATCCCTTTAAAAGGTGCACTGCATTATTATTATCTATAGTCACCCTGTCATGAGACAGCACCACAGAACTGGGTCAGCTTTTCCTCCCACCCCTCAAGACATTCTTCATTCAGAATCTCAAGACATTGGTTCCCCTACCTCTGTGCGTACACCAAAGCACGAGTGCAAGCATCATGTGCATTACGTCAGCTCATCTTACCTTATATTCTTTGACAGAATGGACACCCTGGACCAAGCGAGTAGCTGTCCTCCTCTGGTCTCAGAGACTGACCCGTGACCCTCCCACGTCCTGCTGACCATCAGCAACAAGGAGTGTCCCCTTCTTTGGTAAAACATCTACTTCATTCTCTGAAGACTAACAGCTCATTTCTTTGCAGCAGGGCAGTGAGGGTTCCAAGTTTCAGACATCGCACAATCTGTAGAGCTAATTTCGAAGCAGTTCAAGCTCCTCTGCCTGCCCATTCCCCAGAGCTGTCCCCCTGCTAAGTGGCTCTTATATCAGAGGTTTTGGGAAGGGACCAAAACGACTGTCTTCTGAACCTTTGTGAAAAAACAAAGCATGTCGTCATGTCACCCTAAGGGGACAATGTCATCCACTCTCCAATGAATGCAGCCTTGTGGGCCAGGGATGTAGCTCAGCGGCAAAGTGCCTGCTTGGCAAGTGTGAGGATCTGAGTTCGATCCCCGGTAACAACGTACACATACACAGATACAACACACATGCGCGCACACACAGCCTTTCAGTTTGCATGGATTCTCTCTGGAAGTGTACAGGAGAAAAGGAAGGATGCGCCTTAAGACCCCTCAGTCTGGCCAGACATTTCCTAACTGGACGGACTGAAGTAAAAATTAGTCAGATTTATGCCTGACTTGCTCATCTGGAAACCCACAAAATAGAAAAGTTTTAAGGTCCCCTCTGCGGGCCACATTCTATGATTCATGGCCACCATTCTAATTATTGCACTGTTGCTACTCGGGATTTTCTCTCCACCTCCCTGCAGTTAATTCCCCTCCCTTCTCACGGGAGAAAAGTGTTAAGAGGGCTGTACAGTGTGGTCATGCGCCACGGCCTTCCTACGAAACCTCACAATGTAACGCCTGGAGCGGGGCCAGGTGAAGGCCTGCAATGCCAGGACCCCACTTGTCTGGGGCTCTGGCAGACCTCTTTCGGGTCCAGTAGCTTTTCTCTGGACCTCTGCTACTCTCTTAGTTAACTGTGTGAGCTAATGAAAAGACTTCATGAGAATACACGGGGGGTAATGTGCAAAGGAAAATTTTAACTAAATGAATATCAAAATATTTCCTGATATAGCATTTGGGTAACCTGTAAGGTCAACATCAGTACAAGTAAAACCCGTCAACTCGTAAGTTCCCCAGTCCCTGTATACAGACATAAAACTGGGTTTTTAATGGACTACAACCCTGTCCATAGTTTGTCACACTCATGTTTTTTCCTAGGATCTACATTCAATCCTCCTATATATCCAGGACTCAAAGGTTTCCCCACAGAGTCAATTTTAATCTCTTAATTCCTGCATATAATCAATTCTTGCTGGATACCATCTAAGCAACAATGAAGTATTCTGTCCCCTAAAACTCACTAATTTCTTTGAAGATTGGAACAACTGAGACTTTTCCTCCTCCTCCTCCTCTCTGGCTTGAAGACCTTTATTCATTTCATCACTTGAAATTCTTCTCTGGGTTGATAATGAGCCCTCTTTGTGAGGCAGTTTTGTGACGGCTCAGAAAATAACTGCTACATAAAAACAAATTGCCCTGGCTTGTATAATAGAGACAACAGGGGTCAATTATCCTCATTAATCAACAGAGACAGAACAAGAAGTACTGGGGCTTAACTGCAGACAGGAAAACATGTTTTAACCCTGGAGGGAGGAAGAAAATAGCAGAGGGGAGAAGAAAATAAAAGGAAATAAGCCCCTTAGGCTACTAAAATTTGCAACAAGCTGTCATGGGAGACTGTTCAGCCACAACCATTAGAGTTATTTAAGCCTTTATTAGTGTTTATTCTGAACGAAATTTCAACTGTCACAAATCCAGAAGAGAAGAGGGCAATGACCTGTTTTCTTATAATACAAATTAATTGACATAAACCAGCTCCACTCGCAAGCATTACAGTGCAAATGGACATTTCCTTTGAAAAGCTATTTGGCAGTAAAAATATTTGTGCCCTTTGACAGGACAATTTCACTTCTTAGAATTTATGCTGTCAAAATGACCCTACCAACTCTGTTATGCCTCACAATACGTATAGCAGTATGGTTAATATACCGGTGGGTGGAGAGCCCAAATGACTTTCCACCCAACGATAGCAAAAGATACAAGACTTGTCCAAGTGCACTGATGCCCTGCAGGCATGAAATCAGTTTGCTGGGGAGGGGGCATGGGAAGAAAAAGGCTGCTGTGGTTTTAGACAAAGACTGATGCAAACTTGTTTTGAATCATTAGATTTATATTTTAAAAATGCAAAGAAAAAAGATCAGAAAAATAGCAATTGTCTTGGACTCGTGATTACTTTTTTTCTTTTTCCTTTTTGTCTATTCCAAGTTTTCAATAATGATTTTGAAGTTATTCCAATAATAACACAATCCCGACGTGACCCAGTTGCTACAGGAAGTGAGACTTTGCCTCAGTCCCAGAAAGTGAGTTTTGACCACCCTGGGACGATCATGGTGGCCTCGTGCCCCTGCCTATGACTCGGGATGGGGCACAAGAGAGGCTTATGAAAAGATTTCTCTCTTTAGTAAAAGAAACACATAGGAGTAAAACACCTCTTCTATACAGAATGGCTAAAAAACGAGATGAACAATCGTAATAGAGAATAAGAAGAACAAAAGAATATTATGTTTGCCATCGACCACAGTGGCGAAATGAGAAGCACCAGGGAGAAGTCAGTTTCCAAAGGTGGCTGGGAACCAGAAGCGTAACAATGCCCATCTCTGATTGGAGGGAATACTTCTCAAAAAACCACGGTAACTGTCAACTTCAGAATCTAGGTCATGGGTCAAAATTTTCAAGAATGTGCCCAAAACCTCCATCCTAGATTTTTTTTTCTTCATTCAAAAATACTGACCCTGTGCATGCTGTGTGCTAAGAGAGTCACACGGGAACAAAACCAGCACAACTGCCCTTGGTGGATTCACGTTTCAGTGAGGGGAGAGAGACTGCAGGGAGGCGGTCACAGGTGCCGCGGAGGGGTAGGGAACACAGGGACAGCTGCACCCACGAACAGTGAGCTCAGGGAGACTCCACAGGAAGGTGAACAGCGACAGAGGCGTCTGTCCTGCGGTGGAGAAAGAAAGGATCTAACTCTGAGGTGCAAGAGCCTAGCAGGGATGGATCAGAGAGCCTGGAGCCCAGCAATGGGCTCTGGGACCAGGAAGGGCAGTGTGGCTGGAGCAGGCAGAGCGAGTGACTGCAGAGAAGCAAGCCAGGCAGGCA